CTCCGATGCTTGGAATGTGAGATTTAAAACACTAATACCTACAGGCCAAAATGGCTAATTACTTTTTTAAACATAAGTCAGAAGGGCCCACTTTCGTTATATATTAGGTCCCCCCCAGGTCCCCCCCCCAAGAAATGGAATTAATGGGGCCCCGGTCCCCCCCGGTCCCCCCCCCCCGGTTTCTCCGGCCCTCTGGTCCAGTGAGCAGCACCATTCCTGTCAACGTGCGATGCATTTACACGCCATTTCCATGTCACTACTCTTCATAAAACACATTCAGAGCTCACACTCTGCAGTGGACAGCATGCAACACACATACCTATCGGATTGCTCAGCGGCAGTTCTTGTGAAGCTGTTCCCTCAATCGGCGTCCGAGCGTCGCCGACACGGCTGCGCCGGCTGACCCTGTGTGAGTCACTGAAGGACGCCGACGGAGCGCACGGGGAGTCCCCCAGGCACGATGATATGCAGGTCGCAGTTGAGGTCACGCTCCCGAGAACGGTGCGGCATAAGTGCAGAAGGCAGGTGAAGACTGGTGGACGATGGCTGTTGCGAACAGGCACGGAAGGACCCGTGGACACAAAAGACAGATGCGTAAAGGCAGGAGGGTTTTGTTATGGGGATCTGGCTCGACTTCGGCTGTTTGAAGCCACGTATGTAGGTATGAAAAAATGAATGGTGAGAACAACGAATGATCTATGGCTTATTAGTGGATGACTATTTAAAAACGACCATTACCTCAGGCATACATTCAACATGTGTTGTAGACAGATGGGCATCGGATCGGACCAGGCATTTTTTTTTTTTTTTTTTGACCATGCATTTGACAAGATATTAGCATACTTTTCCTGTTATAGCTCTAAATCATTCTATGCGCACTTTTCTTCGTTTTCTTTTGTATTCGCCGACTAGGATTCTCACTGGCTATACATATATTCGAATGATTTCACAAGTGCTAGCGCTTTTGCTAATTAATTGGAATGGGCAAGTAGAATAGACCCAATTAAGAGTAGCACTTAATTGACTCAATTGAAAGTATGAATTAATATCACGCCAAGATTGTAACTCTTAGCAAGGTATTATGAACATGCTTGGAGGACTAGGGGAAAACCAAATGGCTGTTTTTTCGTTTTAGATCCTAATGGTCAATCATGGGATAACGACTCTTTAGAGCCCTGGATTTTTATATTTCAGTGTTGCCCAGAGGTGCATTTGCCAGATATTAGCAGAAGAACCAACAACGCGCCTTTCCTCAACCAACAACGCGCCTTTCTCCCCCAGCTTCACAAGTATTTCTGAAATTTCTCCTTCACTTGGGGTTTGATTTTGCCGGTAAGAGGCTTGTCAAAATCCTAGCCCTCAATGTGCCAATAGCCCAACAATTTAACTCCTGAGCTATATCATGTTGCGAAGCCTAAAAAAGAAAAGACAATACGAAGTGTACGAAATTTTCCTCTAAGGCGTTCGTGCACATAAAATAGAATGTCAAATATGAGAAACAAGAGACTGAACCCGAGTTTTGCTTTTATGCAACTCACAGATATGATAAGGCTCACGAACTGCATGTTCCGAGGTACGGACTCTTCTATAAATGCAGCATGCTGAGTTTTGGACAATTATTTCGCTTTCATACGCGTGGGTGCTGTCATGTATGTACCTTCTTGGCAAACATGTGCATTTGCATCGAAATTTCTCGCATGAAATGCTATCATAACCTTTCCTCAACCAAACTGTTAGTGTCATGTCTAAAATATGCAAGAAAACGCGCCGGAGCCTTTGTCTTTGCATTGCTTTATTATATTATTTCATGTGTTCTAGTGCCATTGATAAAAAAGACCCCGAAGCGAGGTCATCCATAGACATGGTTCGGTGATTATTTTATGCCAGCGCATGACAATGCTGCCATGCAGTTTATCCCGTATCTCATACCAAAGAAAGACCATCTGCATAGGTAATAGGTATGAAGCCTTGGTTCAGGTTAACCCGCGACCTGGTGGGGGGGGGGCTATTTTTTGCCCCCCCCCCCTCCAGACTTTTCTATATATCTCCAGAACCGCTGCGTCGATCGTCACCAAACTTTCAGTACCCTCCCGGACATCAATTTTACCATAGACCTCTGTATACATGGACTGGACACAGAAAATCCGGCCATGACCACAACGGCCCTAAAAGTAAATGCTTATAACTCGAGAGTCAGTTCACCTACGACATCCATTTTTTCACCGCCGCATAGCCCCATTCATTGAAAATGATGGGGATCATCCGCCGAACCGATGCGGTGTAACGGGGGAGCACCAGCACGTGGCGCGTGAGAGATGTTTGTGAAAATGGCGTGACAGTATCTCGGGAACGGCTTGACCGAATGAGTCCAGATTTGGCACACAGCTAGGTATTACACACCTGCCAATAACGCATGTCCCAATTTTGAGGTGGCGATGCACGTGCGCACGTGCACACCCCTTTTTTGTATCTCAGAAACTACTCGTCCGATTTCGCTCAAATTTTGTATACGGCAACAGCCTAACAACCATTGCTGGTTCACACCTCAAGCAAGGGGTGCGACTGCACGTGCGCACGTGCACACCCCTTGTTCATATCTTGGAAACTAGCAGCCCGATTTAGCTGAAACTTTGTATCTGCCTCCCTAAGAGCCAAGCTAAACGTTCCTGATACTCATCGCAAGCTTGAATTGCCGCTGCACGTGCGCACGCGCCACGCGCGCACCCCAATTCGTGGCTCGGAAACTAGCGGTTCCGTTTTGTTTTGCTGAGATCTTCTACGCAGCAATGTACTCCATAACCACTGGCGACTTATACATTTGCGGATCTTAGAAACTTATTTCCCAACTGGACTGAACTTCTGCATTATCAGGTGCGGCTGCACGTGCGCACGTACACACCCCTTGCTTATATCTTGGAAAGTATCCGTCCGATTAAGCTGGAATTTTGTCTATGCCTCCCCAAGAGCAAAGCTAACTGTTTCTGATTCTCGTCACAAGCTCGAAGTGCCGCTGCACGTGCGCACGCGCCACGCGCGCAACCCTAATTGGTAGCTCGGAAACTAGCAGTTCCGTTCTGCTGAGATCTTTTACGCAGCAATGTACTCCATAGCTTAACCACTAGCGACTTATACACTTGGTATCCTAGAAATTTGCTTTCGAACGGGACTGAACTTCTCTATAACGATGAAGTTAATTGGCAGTAAAAGCACATGCATTGTAAAATATATGTATTGCAGATCAGACTGAGCACACTTAGGTATACATAGCTGATAGTTCTTCAGCACCGAAAAAAATCCAGCTCATCAACCAGTAGGTACCCACTCATCGGTTAGCTGCACGATGTAGCATTTTCACATGACAAACAGCAAGGCAAACAACAGAGCTAACAACAATACAGGATTCACTCGCGGACGCTTTATCAATTAGCTGTGCGATTTTTTTTTCGAGAAAACTGGCTCACTGTTGAACCGCCCAATCCCGGGAAGAGCTGTTGGGTACTTGTTCGGGTGGAAGAGGTGCCGTTTTTCCCCAATCAGTCACCATGAAGACAGGGCACTCGAAAAAGATGTGCTAGAGAGTATATGCTTTCCCGCGTCACACGGCTCACCGACCCACCAATGGTCGAGCACTTATTGCACTTCTCGAAAAGGTTCCTTGAAATCCGCTGTAATAATAATAGCAAGAGCCCAACAGTGGCTATGCCCAACAATGTAATGGCTTACACAGAGCTGTTGGATGTCCGCGGATAAGTGCTGGTGCATGTCATAGTCTTCCACCACCGATGGCGGTAGGATGAAAATGGGAAGAAGGATGGAGCGGGATGGCATTCCATTCATATGGCGCTGACGGCTACTGAGCTCTTGGTTGCTAAACTGGATCATCATGCAGTGTCCCTTGTGCGGTCTGGGTGTTCGTCAAAATGATGACAGAAAAGTACACGCGGTAGCGTTTAGCCGATACACGACCCAGGCGTGCACCGTGAGCAGCGTCACCGGGAATGTGGCGTCAGCTGATTGATGCGTTTGCTGCTTTTGAACAGGTGCGTACGGTACATATCGTTCACATTAAAAACTAATTAATGCTATTATAAATTGAATTCATTATTATTATAAATTGACACTGTATATTATTATAATGTGTCAAACTATTATTATTCGAATATGACATTCAATAAACAATCAAGTAATTATCAAAAGGCTCGAATTATAATTTGAGTTTTGGCGACTAAATAGAAATAGCATATCAACCTTGTAGTAAAGCATAAGCGTATTTGTGAGAAAATGGTTAGAATTGAATTTATCAGCGAGTCGCTTTCCTGATTGATCTTATTTTGGCATTGCTTTTTATTTCACACCCGCAACCATATATACCTGGTGCCGAATATCCCGCGGTGGGCATGGACACAACACTTGCGGCGGGGACTCTGCCATCGTCAGCCCAGCTTGATGCAAAACTGCTTCTGTAAATAAAATAACACTGAAGTGGTGCTGGTTCTCCAGCTATTATCTTCAGTGCAAATGAAGGCCGATAGAACGCGCCTTCTTAAAGTTTTAATTATATGACATCCCGGCGTACTGCACGTCGTCGTGGGTGGTGTTTCACGGCCGCTGCTAGCACCCTGCCACCATACGCAGCGAAATCGGTTTCCAGACATTGTTGTTTGTTGTTAATTAGGACTTACGGGCGCGTCGACTCCGGTGGTCATTTTGCGCCCATCTGTTTCCAGACATTGACAAACTCGGACACCCCAATGTTGAATGACGCTAGCTGGTCTCCAAAAGCCAACACAGTGATTTGTCTGACTTCACGTAACATCGACGTGACTTGTGGACCGACGCATGGAAAATGTACCAAAAAATCCGTCTCGACCATCCGTTTGGAAGTTTGATGAGCAAACTAAACCTGCATCCCTCCCAGCAATTCGTATATTCATCTCAGTACTTCAAGAAGTCCGGGTTAAAATATGCGCACAAAACGCACGTTAACGAATTTAAAACGGAACTAAGCTTCAGCACTCACACGCAAAACTGAGGCGAAACTTGAGTTGTCATTCAATTATAAATGATGTGAATTTACCACGAGCACAGAGTAGCAACCAACAGCGCAGAACCAACATGCTCGGTCCGAACTCAGCTCTGCAGATACAGCTCTCACCGCGCCGAACAGTCTCACAAACGGCAAATTACCGAGGTTACCACGATCACGAATATGAATGATCATTGGTCACCAAAACTATATAGTGGGGATGTGTTGCCCGCCAATCGTAGTAACTTATGTTCACAATAAAGTCACCACAGTTACGTCTGATGCGTGAAATTCATGGCATTCGAATAGGTATATCAGTAATATCGCGGTAGGGGAAGCACACAGGTCGCGTTTAAAGTACAGACAAGTCCGCCAAACAAATACATCCATCATGATAGATAACAAATGTTAGTTAAAACTCACCGGAACTATCGTTCTCATACATACGGCTACGGGAGAGGGGGGATGAACGTCACAATGACCAACTGCACAGCAAATGAATCGTACAATTATCACAGTTATACTTTGATCATAACGAACTTAACCTAGCACCGGTGTAATTCCTCCCCGCTTCCCGCTCTTATCTATCATCTGATCATCCTCGCAACTATCGCATTCAAAGTTAGGTTATCACCCCGACCAGCACCCTATTTCCACCAAAGGGTTCACTCCATGCAACACTGTCAATCCCGTGACAGACCGTGCCGCGCCGACCGTCCTTAGCGCCACCATGCCTCCGTTAAGCTTTGGGTGACAAGCCCGCCGGTCAGGACGCCTCGGCGGCTTGGCGCCGCATCACCTCCGCAGGGGCAAGACTCGATAGGAAGCGCAGATCTGATCTGCATGATTTGCAAAGCCATGTCCAGGATCCCCGATGACGTCCGGAAGCCTTGAGTCATTCGCTCGACCGCTCCAGTTGGTATTTTGCAGAGCACCGCCGCCGCCGGCTCCCGCCACAGCCAGCGCAGCGGCGCGGCACGCAGACTGAGAGGCCACACAGCAGTCGCGTTGCACACCGCCGCCGGCCCCCGCCATAGCCAACGCAGCGGCGAGTCCACCTGGTCTTGCGGCACGCAGAGAGGCCACACACAAAAGTCTTGTGACGCGCAGAGAGGCCACAGTCTTGTAACGCGACGGACGAGCCGCCCAGCGCGCCATCCACGTAGATGCTTTGCTATCTTCGTCCACAGGACACCACCGGACTGTCGTCCACGAGTCTAGAAGGGTACAGAACGGACGGTCAGACGGTCTGAGGTGAAAAAACCACGGGGAGACGGTCACGTATGTGTGTGTGTGTGGGGGGGGGGAGGGGGAGGTAATCTGAGTGAATTGAGCGGAGACACTTGGGTAGTACAATGCAAAAATAGGACTGATATCTGACTAGCTGGGAGACTTTTAAGCCAGGCACACACATCTCGGTAGTGAGTCCGGTTTCGAGTCGCTTCGGCGCTCAATATATGCAATTATTGACGGGGATGGTCAGTTGGTAGGAGTAGCCGCACTAAGTTGAAGTCAGTGGAGTGGACAGGCCGTGTCTGGCTTTACTGGGTACATTTAACTTTATTTCAACATTCAAGCACAACTTTGGCATATCGACAGTTCTGAGCAAGAACATCCTTAGTGTCAAATTTTTCGAAGTTGAGATTTTTATACCATTCGACTCAGCTCGACGAGCTGAGTCGAATGGTATGAACATCTCAATTTCGAAAAATTTGACACTTGGGATGTTCTTGCTCGGAACTGTCGATATCTTAACTATCCAGTTACCCGGCATAACGTGACCGGACGGCAAGGATCGTGGCCGACGCAACAAGCTCTGCTTAGCGAGGACTCTGGCTGTTTATCTACACATGGTGAAACATTGGAGTTAACTTTATTTTGAAAAAATGTTTCGAACGGCCCCATAATCGAAGTTCCTGTCAAAATGCTTACAATATCAACTGGCATGCGCAGCAGCTAACATTGACCTGTATATTTTACAATATCTTTCGGACATTTCGGAGCCGGAATTCCTTCACTTTCTTACCTGCATGAACATTTCGGAGCCGGAATGGGTCTCTGTAGTATAGATAGCGTCAAAAGCGGCCAACGGTGTTTGCGGTTCAACAGTCAACTTCTTCAGAAGATCACTGGACAGTCTTGCTGGTAGTAACATCAGTGCAGCGCGGCGTGTCAGAACGTGAAGCTGCTACACAGGGCTGCGGAGTCGATGGATTTACGGCGACTCCGACTCCGACTCTGACTCCGACTTTCAAAAACCAGCTCCGACTCCGATTCCGACTCCGGGCAAAATTGTCGACTCCGACCGACTCCAACTCCTGACTCCGACTCCGCAGACCTAGCAGGGCTGCGGAGTCGACAGATTTTCGGTGACTCCGACTCCGGATCCGGCTCGGATTTCTAAAATCGACTCCGACTCCGATTCCGGTCACAACTGTCGACTCCGACCGACTCCGACTCCGACTCCGACTCCGCAGCCCTGGGCCTACACTGCACGTATCGCCCGCCGTGGCCGCGTCCGCGTACCAGCCCTCGGGCCATTTCGCCATCGGCCGCGCTGTTCTTACGGCTGTTCGGTGTACCGTGCGAACATACGTCCAGCATGGTCGGCCCCTGCGGTAACTGTGCCGCCTCCTTGGCTAGTGTGTCGAATGTCGGCAAGCTTATTACCCTACAGCCCGCACCGGAACCGGCGTTGTGAATCCGGTCATCTTTCTCCCCGCGCAAGCAGGGACTGCCACACTGCAACTTCGAGTATTCACTGCTGTGTCGCCGGTCTCGAGCAAAGGGCCGGCTGGCTGTCCGTACTCCGTAGTTTGGCAGATGACTAGTGGGTCCCCCTGCTCATCCTCTGAGTGGTCCAGCAGCTCGCGCAGTGCTGCGACGAGGTCCACCATCTCGGCTCTGTAGCTGCAGCATGTGACCGGCCCGCCTAAGCTCGCTCGACGTCGGACCGCGGCCCGGGAGAGAACAAGCTGGGCCGACTGGCCGAGCTAGGCTAACTGCACCGGGTCCATGCTGCCGGCCGGTGCACCTCCCATGCACGGCGCTCCAAGACTAGGAGATGATCGGATACGGCGAATGCTGCCACCGCCGCCCCAGGTGAGCTGTACCAACCATTGCCAATGCATCGGTCAGCCGGGCAAGCCCTGCCACCAACGTGGAAGACAAGCTGAAAAGCACAGGGAACGAATCCCATCAGCAATCTGTGTGGGACACCATGGTAGGGGACACCATTGTACAAGCAGACAGGGATAGGGAACAGCAGTTATGACTCATGGCGTCAAAGAAATGAACAATGAAATTCACACTATACATCACATAAAATACATGTACAGCACAATTTCAAACACCCAAGTCCCTCCACACTCCCATGATATTGTCAAGATGATCATGTTTTGAATTTGCGGCACTGGTAAGGCTGGCATCACCAACTGCAGAGGCTGCATGGTAGGTTGTAGGTTTTAGTTTTTTTGTTTTAGATTGGTAGGTTGCAGGTTGGTTGGTTGTAGGTTCACAGGTTTTATGTTTTTAAATTGGTAAGTTGTAGTTGTAGGCATTGTGAAGTAGCACCAGGTTTGTTTAGGTTAGATACGCTGATGGCGACACCAGCTTTACTGATACTGAAAATGCAATCTAGCAGTCTGGCCAGTCTATAATGCAAATCAGTCTGGCGCACTGTGGTATCTCCGATTCATTTATGGAGACATTTCTATTATTGGAATCGTTTCCAATTTTGACCACTCTTCTGTTCCAAAAATGAAAACGCTTGTTCCATAGACACGCTAACATCTCCACACAAATTTTTTGTCAAGGGTGGCTGGATTTGATGCATAACCGCTGTTTCGCTTTAAACAAGCACAGATACACGAAAAGCACTTGGCTTCTTGCATGGAAAGCTGTTGTATGCATTCAAATTCACCACTTTAAAATGCTCCTGAATCGTATCCATTTATGGAGACTTAGTTTCCAAAAATGGAAATGACGATGTTCCAAAAATAGAGACGCTGAAGTACAAATGTGTGCAAACTGAGCTCAACTGTGTTTTAGCAATGTGTTTTAGCAATGTGAAATTAGCAAAATAACATCTATATAAAGTATCAGACAACCAGATGAAGATCTGGCATCAACAATTAATTCAGAGAACTCGAAGGCTGTATCAAGAGCATTGAGCAACCACCAATTGAGACCTATTTTTGAAAACAGCCGTAGGTAGTTCCGCAACCTTCCTTCATTTGAAAAACTGACGTTAGTAGGGTCAACAACGACATGAAATATAATCCATATTTCATCCTCTTTCGAACCTTACAACTCTCATTGCTCCACAATTAATGCAAACATGTGAATTTCAGCAACTTATGCTTCAATGTTACGAAGTAGAACACTTTAAACCCAGCTAAGTATCGCATGCTTCCAATAGTTACAATGCAAAATGATGGCATTTGTAGGAAAGGATAACATATAAAGGAAACATATTGAATTATGCTACCTGCATTGTCCTTTCTTCTCGAATTAAATCACTTTTAACTACAACTTCGTCATTGCATTGGTAATCACCACAAGTCACGAGACAAAAATGGAGGGGATGTTACGGAAATGGCGCACTGCCGCTTGTACGGTTTATATTTCGAAACAGAATTGATGGGCAAAATAAGCCATTTTGCACTAATTGATAAGATTCACCCAGCAGTGCAATAGAAAACTTATCTACCATATATTATAGATCAATCAGTGTTTGGGGCTACCAATGTCTCATTTTTCAGCTACCTCTTTACCACAGTGACACTTTGCATGGTGACACTGACACATTAAGTACTGAAATTCACAGATTTGCATTAATTGTAGAGCAATGAGGGTGACATAGTTCGAAAGCAGACGAAACATACATTATAATTCAATTTTTAGTTGACCCTACCAATGTCCACGTTTTCGTAAAAGGCGCCTCATCAAAGTAACCCCCGTCCAACTTCAGCACAAAGTTGACATTTGGAGACCTGTGCCTTCTCTCCCTGTTGTTATTTCCCAATAAATTTATACTTAATGGATTTAGAAATTCATTTTCTTTCGAAAAAATACTACATTTTATAAGTTTCAACGCCTAGGTATCCATATATTTGAGAATTACTGAAGGCATGACGATTCTTTATATAATTACAAAATTCCTGGTGAAGACGAATTTAGATAAAGATAGTAAAAAATATGTATTTATGAAATCACATAGGATGATTGTTGACAAACTTTTATGAAAATCTATAATGTAGTTAGGGAGAAAGTATCTTGCAACTTGTGCTAGCAACAGTTGTCAAGACCTGAACCCGTTGCCCGCATGCTGAAGGAATTTCTCGGCGTTACCTAGTGTTTTTATATACCTTGACACGACCCTTGTGGGCCATGTAGCCGGTGGCCAAGGCCGCATTGGATGTCGTGGGTCGTGGTCCCCCATGACGGTGCGATACCAGCCAGCTGGCCAGTCCGCCTGCCACCTCTTCTTGGTGGACCGCGCAACGACCTGCGTGAGGGTGCGGACGTCAACCGGGGTCATCTGCTGGGACAGCCCGGCCGCTTCCTTGGCCAGGGCGTCCGCCCTCTCGTTGTCGGCGAGTCCACAGTGGGCTGGGGCCCATTGCAGCTGTATTGTGCTGCCGTCAGCCGTCAGGCGCTACACTTGGGCCGCAGCGCCTCCAGCCATGAGCTGCCTCGATTCAAAGGCGTCAGCAGTTGCTCGATCGGCGGAGCGACTCGGCCTCGCCGGCCTACCGGACACTGCGGCCGATCTTGTCGCTCCTTTTCTATCATGTCCTAAATGGGCCACTCTTTTAGAGAGCGTGCGCCGTACAACTCGGTGAGGACCTTGGCCGGCAGAATAGTTTGCTGGGCGGCGACCGGAGCCGGCTCGATCCCTGCTACTACGGCCTGTGCGGGGCTATGCAGCGGTCAGCTGACAGTCGCACGTAGCTACCGCTGGAGCAGCCAGATGGCGGAGAGCGGGATCGTTAGGACAGCGGCTGCGTGCTCCAGTGTTCCGTCCACGCATCCCGATGAACGACGCTGTAGGCAATGATTATCCACATCAGGTCAGCCTGTGGACCTGCATCGTGGGCTACACCCGGGAGCAAAGGCTGTATCAGCCTCACTGTGCCAAATAGTGCTTAATGAGGTCACTGTACTCTTCAGCAAGCACCGAACACTGCTGATCAATTTTCCCTCCTACATCATGTCGGCGACTGCTGCTGCTCCTGGAGTTGGCATTTCGATGATGTGCTATCCTGGGGGCATTGTTCGTTGGCGGCTCGTTGACTATCTCTGTGAGTGGCGTCACTGAAAGAAATAGAGAAAAAAGTATGTCGGTCACACTTTATAGGATAATGTGTGCTTGGCGGTAATCTTTTACTTTTAAGAACAAGCGGCCCTCGCCAAGCATGATCCACAAAGTCATTACGATAGCATGACAAGAACAAGTTAATGTGTTTGTAAAATTGAGGTTTCGGATAGATTTATGTATTGCAAAACTGCCTTTACACAGTGATACTTGATATTAACCTACGTCCTACAAGCACATCTGCATTGAGAGGCAAACGACTTAAAAGTAATAATGAATGTAAATGCGTCAAGATTGCTATTTTACAGTTTGATCAATGACACTCACAAATAGATTGATTCGAATTCGATGACATTAATTATCTTGTCTGCGAGCATGCCTTCCAACCATGGCAGGCAGTGCAGTAACTAATCTGGTTTATTGAATACCGACTTTGGCGAGTAAACATAGAAAAAGCAGCAAAGACAAATAACAATGAAGCAAGTTATAAAGCATTACTCACGCTTGGAAGGATCTGGCTAAGGGTGGATGGAACCACAGTGTATAGATGTAACGATGCGTCAATCAGGAACGTTTGCTTGCTCTTCCTGTGGGCTCTTGTAGGTAAATGGTCATCTCCAAAATGCAGCTAAAAAACGAACAATTGTTCAACAAATAACCTTCTACTTGTGACATTTAATAACGTATCAGTTTGTATGCACACCGACACCAATTATTCAACCGAAACTTGATAAGTCCTCAATATGAAACACTTAAAAGCGAAACTTAAATATACAATTCCAACTTTATGCCTTGCTTTATGCCTATTTTATGACAAAACACGTAGGTCTGGGAATAATGCTAATGATACTTTACAGAAAGTCACGTGCTCTTTTCCGTCGCCGTCATTAAGACGAATTTATTTAAGACGGTCCGTCATGAGCGTTGCACTTTTATCCCCTTTCAGA